AACATCCTGTCTGTGATGTGTTATCTCGCACGATCCTCAACGATATATTATAACGCAGCCGCGTATCTGTTGTTTCCTCCGCAAAACAACGCGGTACATTTACGCAAAACGATAATCTCGAAGCATTATTATTATATATAATTAATATATATTATCTAAGTATATATTATACATTAAGCATATCATACATTATTATATATTAACCATTATTATTATATATAATTAATCGATTTACATCTTTGTACACACGAAATGTGAATTTAGTGAGAACTGCTTCAAAATCGTTATGAGAAAAATTAAATTTTATTTTCCATTCCCAAGAATTATTTTTAATTTATATTAATTGAACTCGTATAAGTAAGTACTTAAAAATCGGGAATATTACCTATATAACGCATGATTATACATTTCGTGATGACCTCGGTGACATTAAAAACTGTCCGCTTTCCAACATATGGGAGAAAGTATTTTCTTTTTGATTGCCTTCAAATGATGCGGCAGTTACATACGTTCCAAGCAAAATATGTTCGTGGTATATGTCGCTTAATTTTTTATTATTAAATATCTTCTTCGTTTCGCCTTTTCAAAGGTAAAAGTCTTTTTGATCGAGCGACAATATTTACATACAGCGATTTTTAATGTAATATCGCCAGGACATGGTAATTCATTTCCAATTGTACTACTACGCTATACTCGTATTATACATCGAATTTCGTAATTAAAGACTGAAATCAATATGACATCCGCGACGAAGAAAAGGCAAGGCCACCCGAGAAACACCTCGTCACCCTGTGATCATGCAAATTCGCGCGCACGTCGGGCGTTTAATAAAGTGTGGCTTTCTGTCACTTAAAATTACTGACCACACACGCAACGTCTCAATCGAAAAATGCTCACGTCAAGTGTACGAATTTCTTTGATGAGGTCAATCTTGTTCTTGCGACTATGAAAAAGATAATAGAGCACACACACACACACACACACACACAGAGTAAAAGGTAACCTCACTTTAATAAAGATATATATATATATATATATATATATATATATATAGATGAAAGAAATTCATTGTAAAAAAAATATAATGCATCAAAGTTCATTGATAAAACGTGAAGTGCACTAAATATATTTTAATTCTTTTTATTGGCAATAGCAATTTTTAGATGGATGAATAAAATAACAAAGTAAAAAAATTCTACAATCGCGCAATTACTCTAATATTACTTTTACTACGTTTACATTTCGTTTATTTTCCGTATTATCGTAGAAAAAAAATCAAACTGTGCAGCTATTGAATGTATATTACGATCGAAGAAATCAGAATATATTTATAAAATATATTTATATAAAAATATAGATATTATTTTTGTAGAGGACAGCGTGATTTACGCGACAAACTTTAGTATCTTTGAACCGCAAATAATTTTGTCACCCTTCTTGCTCTATTTCCCGCACAACCGTATCCACATTCGTCGGCGAATCTAACGTTTTCGCCAGACTCTGGTACGTATCAACAAAAATCCCAACGCGACGTTACGTAAAAACAAGTTCTGTCGAACTAAAGGCGGCACGTCAAACTTTACGTCTCGTTCCACATCCATACATTATTTGCGCGCGCGCGAGGAGAGTCAACGTACCGCGTAAATTCTCTCTCTTTCTCTCTCTTAAAAGGTGCCCTGATCGGTCGCGGCTCTCACTTATTAGCCACGGGAACGCGCCACAGTTGCGTCAATCGTTTAATTGTTCTCCTTATCCCGTTAAAGGAGCGTATAAATGTGCTCGCGAAGAGCTTTGCGCGACATGCGCGAGTGTGTTTGCTCATTAGACACGTCCGTCCACGTTTTTCAACGGCCTTTTCAACCTTGCGGCGTTAGAGCGTGGCAATTACGGATTAGGTTTTTCTGCCAAATCAGACACTGTGATTATTACGCGCAAAGTACATATTTGTACATATGCAAAGTGCAGAATCTGGAATAGCAAAATTGCACGCTCGTGAAACAGACGCGCGATACGTATTCATTTATGCTTGGATAATAGGAGAATTGTTTTGTGCGAAAGATAAAAAGTTCTGAACGATTGAAAAAACTGACAAAATTTTACACTGAGATACTTATAATCGTAATTTCATTTTAATTTAAAATGTTGAACTGAGATTTAATTAATATAATTGAGTAGTAGGATAGAAGATTAAACGATTTAGTAAATCAAATTGCAGCTAGATCAAATAATTTTTAAATCGATTTTATAATTGAAAATATATCACATTTGGAAAAACTTGAAGAAAAACAAAAATTGTAATAATTATATTCTTTTTTTCTATAAAAATGTAATCAATATTTTTTTAACATATATGTCATTCTAAAAACATAATATTATTCATTATGTGAGAGAGAGAGAGAGAGAGAGAGAGATCTTGTTTATTAGCGTTTATTTATTCGTGTTTATTCGCGTATGTGTGCAATCGAAAGGACGGTAGTTAACGTTCTGATTGAATTATTTATTCGCGAGGTCGCAGAAACGAGATATTAAACGATCGGGAAAAGGAAACCGCAGCTATCCCCTCAATTTTCTCGTATATCGTTAAGACAATTCAATTCTTATCGATTCAAGACTCAATTATACACGATTGATCTCTTGTACAATGTATTATTTATCGTACAAGCTTAATTGACGAGTTTCGATTTACGATATAGGGTGTCCGTTTCAAAATGAATCTTTTCACTTTGTTTTTTTTTTTACGTTATTATCGAATCAAATAGACGACAGGAGAGCGAATTTAATGGTGATTTATCGCAGCCCGGAAAGGCGATTATTTTTTTAAAAATAACTTGCTCGCGGTTTCAAGTGGAAGACGGATTTCATAAGCCGAGTTGTGAAGTATTAGTGAAGTATTATAAACCGTCATGTGTATTAATTATATTATTTTTTCAGAGTAAAGAATATATTTATAGCCGCGCATACGAGAGGTCTCTTTATTACAGAAATGAAGATAGATATGTCGCCCCAGGCGATACCTTCTAAACATCTCTCTTTCGTAAGTACTATCGTCCCGGAATGTGCTCCATATACGATGGCAAAACTTTCAGGTAGAAAAGAAAAGTGAAAGGTGGGATAAAAAAGAACGCACCGATATTTTGTATTTTATAAGTATTTTATGAACAGGGAAGTATAACAAAAGATATTATAATGACTCTTCATTTTACTCGTTATTTACATTCTTTAACTAGAACATTCTTCTTAATTAAATATTTTTAAATTATATTTAAATTGTAATTTAAATAGTAACAGTAATAGTAGTAGTAATAGTAATTTAAATTTATATTTTAAAATATTTATTTACCACTTTATAACCCGTTAATCTAAATAATTCAAAGAAAATAAAAAAAGAAAATAAAAATTGTTATATAATTAATCATTATATAATCATTTTAAACTAACAACTTATATTACAAATTTCATTTTTAATATAAAAAAATAAAAGTAAACACATTTTTAATCATGTAACATTTTTATTCAAGCTCGTTTACCATTGATTATTTCCATTAGATTTCTTCTTTCAATATTTCTCGGCAAACGCAAAGCGTGCAATTAAGCAACTGTAGATGGTAAATTTGTACCACCATCAGGTTGATCGTGACACCACAACTTCTTTCAATATTTTAATTCTCCCTCTCGCCGAAAAAGTCGATTAACCGTCGCAGAACAAAACTGATTTCATGGCCAAGTGAAATACACAAAACGCTTTCTCAACCCTGTTGCGTTATCATGCCGCTGGTTACTAGTTGACAACCAAACATTATCGATTATCTGGATCGCGTCTGAATATATAAAAAGAAACGAAACTGTATGAATTAATTGTTACATAAATAAACTTATATAAATTATCCATCCATCGTTCAGGCTCTGTTATCGAACAAGCATGTACACGCGGATCAGTTATGCAATTAATCTAGAATTTATTATTATATCTAATATGACTTTCGTAATTTATGTAATAAAACAAAATTTTCTGCGGATAACTTGTGTAACGTCTGGGTGCAAAGTCTGGCCGAAGCTCAGAAAATTTCGCGCCGCGCATCTTCGTCTTTTACGACCGCCATAAAGGAAATATACCATAAAGAATGCCGCAATTCGCATTCGTGTAAGCTGCAGTGTTCGAACCCGAAAAGTTACGTAAGCTGATTTGTATGCAGATGAAATGAAGGATGATAGCA